ACAACATGGAATAAAGGGCATTAAATATTTTGTGCACTGTTCACAGGGTGGGGTAAAGAGAAGCTTTGGGGTTGTTGTTGGGGTTCTTTTTAAGTTTTATTGTGAATTATAATTCACATGGGAGAACATCAGCTTTATACTCATACTATATTTCATTTCATTGCAATCCATAAGCATAGGTCAACTTCGTCAAATTGTAGCAAACTACACTTGTTTCCTTTATCAAGAAAAGAACTACACTTGTTTTCTTTCTTCCTCTAGTTGAGTTCTGGTCATCCAGCCATTGAAGCTAGGTCAAATGGGTACTATCTGCAAGTATGGGTATTCTTGTGCATCTCCCCTCACTTCACATTAGCTGCACAATTCACTCTACACTCTAGCCCTCTATGGCTATGTCCTTGTCCATGGGCTCAGGAGTCCCCAGGTCTCATCATACTCCAGGTTGACAGGAGTCTATTAAATGTTATCAGACTCAGCCCACATCTTCATTGCTGCTTTTCCCCCACTTCCACTTATCAGTAGACCAACATGGTCACCAGCAAAATTACATGCCTGCTCATGTATTCCCTTTGAGTTTCAGTCTTGGAAGGGGGGTTATTCCTGTATTTTTCCCTTCTTTGGCATTGTTATTATTTTGATCTTTGATTGACCGCCCAAGTCCTATGAATTTGTTGTTATAATTTTGTTCTGTTCTGAACTCTGCTATCTGTCAACAGGGTTCCAGATGGTGTTGTCACGTGTGTCAATCTCTGGTTGTTGTCTGTTCTTGTTGGTTTTCAGTCCAAAGAACTCCCTTTAAGATGTTTTGAAGCTCTGGGTTGGCTTTCACAAAGTCTCTTAGCGTCTGCTTATCCTGGGATGTTTTGATGCAACATTGTATTTGATTGACAGCTTTGCTGGGTAGATGATTCTTGGTTGGCAGTTTGTTTCTTTTAGGGTTTTATCTATGTCTCCCCATTGCCTTTTTGCCTACCCTTTTTCTGCTGAGAGCTTAATCTGATTTGTTTGCTTTGTAAGTAACACTTCTTACTAGCTGCTTTTAGAATTCTCTCCTTGTCTTTGATTTTGGAGAGCTTGATTATGATGTCTGGGTGATTTTCTTTTGGAATCTATCCTTCCTGGGGTTTGTTCAGCTTCTTGAATGCTTATATTCTCATCCTTCAAGATGTTAGGGAAATTTTCTTCCAGAAGCTCTTCAACTATCTCCTCTGTGGACGTGTGTGATTCTTCCTGCTCTGGAATGCCAATAATTCTTAAGTTATTCCTCTTCATGTTGTCCAATATGAATCTTAGACTCTCTTCAGACTTTTTTACCCATTTTTCTGCTTGCTCTTCTATCTTAGCAATATTGAGAGATTTGTCTTCCAGTTCACTGGTTCTGGCTTCCATCTCTGCCATTATACTCCTTTGCCCTTTCAGTGTATTGCCCATTTCTGATATTTTATTATTAATTGTCTGGACCTCTTTTTGAAGGTTTTGAATTGTTTCCAATGCTATATCTATCTTTGATTTCACCTGTAGCACTTTCCTGACTTCTTCCTTATTTTCCTCGACCCCTCTGTGGAGCATTTGGATGTGTCTCAATATTGTTTTCCTGAATTCCTTCTTAAGCAGATCCAAACACTGCTCTCCTTCTAATGAGAAGTCTATACCTACCTCTAGCTCATTTGTCTCAGTTACTCTTTTCTTTTTCTGGACATATGCAGAGATCTTTTGTTATTTCTTGGACACTTTCAATAGTTAGATGTATTTTCAATGACTAAATCAATGTATGTTGCTGTATTATTAAGCTTACTGAGTGCCTCCTGGTGGATGTGATCTGGAGATAGACTTCCCTTTTTATGTCTCTTATTACTCCTGGTGTGGAACTGTGCTCAATAGCTTAATGCACTGAATAGCAAAGCCAGCTTGAACTGCAAGGTCAGCAGTTCAAGCTCACCAGTCACTCCTTGGAAACCCTACACAGGGTCGCTACGGGTTGGAACTGACTCAACGGCACTTAACAACAACAACAATTACTCGATTGCAAACAATCTTAGCAAGTGTTGGCTATCTATGTAATGTATATCAGTTGGTATTGGCTACTGTTCGGATGGTGGGATATTACAGGGTATGCTTGTAGCTTGACTATATGGTCACAATTGTTGTCTCTTCTTGGGTAATGTAGGGAGAGAAAGCTCCCACCCCCAGGAAAAAAATAAAACCAAAAAGGCAAAAACAGAAACAAAAGTAAAAGCAAAAGCAAAAAATGAATAAACAAAAAGAAAGAAAGAAAAAAAAAACATAGCAGACTAGTCCAGTAGCCTTTGCTCTGCAAGTCAGTGTGCATGCACAGTAGAAATTTCCAGTGGTGGGTGGGGGTGTCCACTTACTCAGGCTCCACGTCTAGTCACCACTGTGGAGGTGCACAGACAGAGTTTGAGAAATGAATGGAAGAAAGATTGTTCATACTTTTATCTTTGAAGATCAGTTAGGTATCTGCATATGTGCAGCACAATTCTCAAAATGACTGAGTCCTTATACATAGTAGTTGATGTTGGTTCTTGCCTTTTATGTTGAGGTTTTACAGGGTGCAAATACAGTTTGGCTGTATGGCCACACCTGCCTTCTCTTGTTAGACAAGAGGCAGGAATAAAGGCTCTTGCCCAAGTAGGAGAGTCAACTCTAAGGCTAAATCCCAGAGTCAGACATCGTAAGAAATTGCCGGAGGATTAGCTTCTGGAGCCAATGGAACCATGGAAAAACTGTACCCTGTGGGCACAACACTAGACCCTTTGGGGGTGCACTCCCACCTCCGTGAAGACACCCAGGCTGGGCAGAGAAGGTATGACACGGGAGCGCATAAGAGAGGAGGGAAAAAAAAGTTAAATAAATGTCACACCTCTTTTTCCACAAGTTGCTGAGTTGCTTTCGCGCTGTATCAGCCTGGCTGTGGCACTGCCTTCTCGAGAATCTTTGTTTTTAAATGGAATAATATATTCTTGCAGATCGTTCATGATGCAAATGGTTAACATGCTTGCTGAAAACTGAAAGTTGAGAGGTCCAAGTTCATCCCAAGGTACCTCAGATAAAAAGCCTGATGATTTGCTTCTGAAAAATGAGACATTGGCAATCATATGGAGTATTGCTCTACTCTTCCTCATATGCGGTGGCCATGAATCAGAGTGGACTGAAAATGCAACAGGCTAATTACCATCTTCCCAGACTGTAATAGAGAAAGCCTTAACCACTTGGGCAAGTTCCAAATCCTAAACTCTCTAAGGTCTTGCCCACCTCCTGGCAGAGGGACAACATACCCTAGAGCCCAGCCATGTGATTAAGAATTACTGCCAGCTCATGGATTTTATATTCAGAAAGATTGAAAAATTCATCTCAAGTCAAGTTATTGCTAAGCTGTATCCTCGTTGCTCTCATTGGTATTGTTATTAGGTGCGGTCAAGTTGGTGCTGATTCATAGCAACCTTATACACAACAGACCAAAAAACACCAGGTCCTGAGCCATCCTCACAATCGTTGCTATGCTTGAGCCCATTGCTGCTGGCCAGTGTGTCAAACCATCTCTTTGGTGGTCTTCCTCTTTTTCTCTGACCTTCCTCTTTCCCCAGTATGATCTCTTTCTTTGAGGACTGACTGGTTTCTCCTGATAATATGTCCAAACTATGAGAGACATCCTGGTTTCTAAGAAGCATTATGGCTGTACTTCTCCCAACAGAGATTGGTTTGTTCTTTTGGTGGTCCTTGGTACTTTTAATATTCTCCTCCAACACCATAATTCAGATGTATCAATTTTTCTATGGTCTTTATTCATTGTCCAACTTCCATAAGCATTTGAAGTTATTGAAAATACCATGGCTTGGGTCAGGCACATCTTAGATGCAATATTCTATATGTCCTCAAACTGACATCTTTGCTCTTGAACAATTTAAAGAGGTTTAAAGACTTGCCTAAGGAAATAACATTGTTTGATTTCTTAACTACTGCTTCCATGAATATTGATGGCTGATCTGAGCAAAATGAAGTTTTTCACAACTCAAATCTTTTCTCCATTTATCTTGATGTTATTTATTGGTCCAGGAGTGAGGACTTTTGTTTTCTTTACATTGAGACACAACCCATACTGAAGGCTGTTGTCTGTGATCTTCATCAGGAAGTATTTTAAGTCCTCTTCACTTTCAGCAAGCAAGGTTTCTGCATATTGTAGGTTGTCAATGAACCTTCCTCCAATCCTGATGCCACATTTTTCTTCATATAATCCAGCTTCTTGAATGATTTGCTCAGCATACTGATTGAATAAGGATGGTGAAAGAATGTAACCCTGGTATACACTAGTGTTCCCTTGTTCTGTTTGAACAATTGCCTCTTGGTCTATGTACAGGTTCCTCATGAGCACAATTAAGTGTTCCAGAATATTTTTTCTCCATAATGTTGTCCATAGCTTGTCATGATTCACACAATTGAAACCCTTTGCGTAATCAATAAGGCACAGGCAAACATCTTTCTGGTGTTCTCTGCTTTCAGCCAAGATCCATCTGATGTCAGCACTGATATCCCTCATTTCACATCCTTGGCTGAATTCAGCTTGAACCCCTGGCAGTTCCCTGTCAACGTACAGTTGTAGCCATTTTTAAATTATCTTTATCAAAATTTTAATTGCATGTAATATTAATGATATTGTTCAATGATTTCCACATTCCATTGGTTCACCTCTCTTTGTGATGGTCACAAATATGGATCCCTTCCAAACAGTTAGCCAGTTTCTGTCTTCCAAATTTCTATGGCTAAACGAGTGAGTGCCTCCAGTGCCTCATCAGTTTTTTGAAAAATTTCAATTTGTATTCCATCAATTCTTGGTTCCTTGTTCTTTGACAATTCCTTCATTGCACCCTGGATTTCTTCCTTCAGCACCACTGGCTCTTGATCATATGTTCCCTACTCATCCAAAAACCATTGTATTTAAGGAAGTACATTTTGTTTACACTGTTGTGTGTTTGCTCACACAGATTCACTCAATGGATTTTGATGACACGTGGCATCCTGCCACCCACCCTTCTGGAGTGGTCCTTCCTGTTCTCACAGCTTTATCAGAAGCCCTACCTCAAAGGCCAAAGTTCTCTGGCCTTGACCTACTTCTTGCTTTCAATGTCGGTATTGAAGTGCAAGGCCGATTGCTGCATTTTGCCAAAGAATCCACGGATATACCCAAGAGGTAGGAGAGAGCCTATCTCACTGAGAGTGAAACAGCCTTTGATTTAGACATTGGTTGAGTTGGGAATGTTGACACTGGTACTGGCTGACAAGTCAATGTGCCAATGTCAACATTATCTCACATCCTATATCCATGTACAAAGATATGACTTCAGAAGTGCTAATGAATAATTTCCTTAGATTTAGATAGCCAAGCAAGGACCCTGAAATAAACAGTGGACTCTTATCCATTCTTAAAGCAGAATCTACTATGATATCCACTAGGACCCTTCAGGTGGATGAGAACATTCAGAATTTCCTAAACCTGATTGTACATCCCATAGGTCAAAATGGTCAAAAGCTGACAGCTTCATATGACTCAACCCAATATTTATTTTGTCACTTAGTCCAACTTGGTAGGAAAAGAGGCTGGACTACTGGGTGAATTTGTATACTTTTCACTTTTTAGTTACTGTCTTTAGCTTTCAGTAATCAATAGCAAGTTTTGCATTGCTAGTATGAATTATATAACATTGCCATTTATAAAGTACTTATTATGTGTTAGGCAAAAATTATTGTTGAATTCATTCAATCTTTAAAAATCTTAGGTTGTTGTTGTTGTTGTTAGGTGCCATGGAGTCAGTTCAGACTCATAGTGACCCTGTGCAGGGTTTCCAATGTTGTAAATCTTTATGGGAACAGAAAACCTCATCTTTCTCCCACAGAACAGCTGGTAGTTTCAAACTGCTGAACCTGAGGTTAGCAGCTCGATTTGAAACCACTACGCATAGACTCTAATATTATCACCATCTTACATATGAGAAAGCAGGTACAGTGAAGCTGAATAAGTTTTCCAAAACCACATAACAAATAAATGTAGTCCTGGTGTGGTCCTGTAGGATAAGCATGGGACTGATAACCACAAAGTTGGTGGTTCAAACATACTAGTCACTCCTTAGAAAACCTAACAGGGTTGCTATGAGTCAGAACCACTTACTGGCACTTAACAACAATAAATGGTAGGGAGTCTTTGGATGTTAACCAAAAAAATTGAACATTTGAGTCCACCCAGGACTCCCTGAAGAAAGGCCTAGTGAGCTAATTAACCATACTTCTGAAAGGACCCTATCCATCACCAGAGGTTTCAAAACATCAGCCATTGAAAACCCTGCAAGTAGAGTTCTACTGTGACACACTTGGGGTTACCATGAGTTGGGATCAACTCAATGGAACTGGCTAATAAATGATAGCATGGATATGCACTGACCCCATACTCTGGGTTTCTCAGTGGATGATGTACATAAATATCCAACTATGCTTCTTTGCTTTCCAGATTCCACCCACCCTCTGTGGTAGGAACTTTGGGTAGTGCTGCTGCTGCATCCAAGTTTTTAGGACTCAGCTTGACCAAGTGCCAAGAGGCCCTGGCTATCGCTGTTTCCCAGGCTGGGGCACCCCTGGCAAATGCTGCCACTCAGACCAAGCCTCTCCACATTGGCAATGCTGCCAGGCATGGGACAGAAGCTGTTTTTCTGGCAATGCTGGGTCTTCAAGGAAACAAGCAAATCTTAGATTTGGAGGCAGGGTTTGGAGCCTTCTATGCCAACTACTCCCCCAAGGTCCTTCCAAACCTAGATTCCCATACTTGGCTTCTGGACCAACAGGATGTGGCCTTTAAGCGTTTCCCTGCACACTTGGCAACCCACTGGGTGGCAGATGCAGCTACATCTGTGAGGAGGCATCTTGTGACAGACGGAGCCTCACTTGCTGTTGACCACATCCAGAAAATTGTGCTCAAAATTCCAAAAGTTCAATATGTAAACAGGCCCTTCCCAGATTCAGAGCACGAAGCCCGCCACTCCTTCCAGTATGTGGCCTGTGCCACACTGCTTGATGGTGATGTCACTGTCCTGTCATTCCAAAAAGGCCAGATCAACAGGCCACAGGTGAGACAGCTGCTCAAAAAGGTGGAGCTGGAGCATCCTCTAGACAACCTGCCAAGCTTCAACACACTGTACTGTGAGATAAGTATCACCCTCAAGGATGGAGTCACCTTCACAGAGCGTTCTAATACCTTCTACGGTCACTGGAGGAAACCACTGAGCCAGGAGGACTTGCAGGAGAAGTTCAGAGCCAATGCCTCAGGGACGCTGCCCTGTGACAGAGTAGAAAGTCTGATAAAGCTCATAGACAAACTAGAAAACATAGAAGACTGCTCCATCTTAACCACACTTCTGAAAGGGCCCTATCCACCACAGGAGGCTTCCAAATCACTCTAGCACGTAATAATTCCACCCCGCAATCTGTCCTGAATGCAATAAAAGTCTAAATGACTTTGCACATGGGTGATTTGATGATTTGCCTTATGGATCAAGGGATGGCTGTTTGATCTGCCCAGATTAAATGAAGCAAGGTGAAGAAAAGCCAGAAACAGAACAGTCCTATAGATTTCTCAAGATCTGATTATATAAAGCAATATAGTAAATATTCAAGGAGCACAAAGAAATTGATTTTATAAGCATCCAAAAGGCTGAAATTCAAGTCACCTACAAGTTTCTTGTAAAGTTAATTTTTTCAGAAGAGTTATTTATGAGCTTCATGAACCTCAAAGCGTAACTTGAGTCTGTGTGCGTATCTGTGACTGCAGAGAATGGCTCTGATCTAACAGATATTTTAGGCCATGCATTGCTATCAAGTCCTCAACTGGAGAGGAAGGCTACTAGGTTTAAATATTAAGGCCCTGTGGGTTCAAATGAACTCTGGTGTCACAAAGTTAAGTGCTTGGCTGCTAACTGAAAGATTGGTAGTTCAAGCACACTACCTGCTCTATAGGAGAAAGATGTGGCAGTCTGCTTCCGTAAAGATTTACAGCATTGGCAATTCTATGGGACAGCTCTACTCTGTCATTATGAATAGAAATCCAATCAAATTCAAGAGAAGAAGTTTTTTATTTAGTGTATTCAAATCCTGCCCCTACTACTGGGAATGTTACCTGGTCTCATCTGTTTCACTATTTGTAAAGCAAAGATGAAAAATAGTTGTGTTGTAAGGTGGAGAGGCAGTCTGACTTCAAAAACAATGCTCTTAATTACTATATCACCTTTCAGTACAAAAAGATTTTGGGAAAAATGTCTCCAATAAAGAGTATGAGATATACGAAAGAATACAAAGAAAAAAGATATGCAAGAAAAACTATTGAAAGAATCAACAGGAAAATAGCTGGTTCTTTGAAAGGGTTAATAAAATTGACAAACCACTGGCAAATCTAATTTTAAAAAGTGGGAGAAGATACAAATAACACGCATTAGAAACCACATGGGCTATGTCACAACAGAAACAAAACAAATAAAAAGGTTAACACCAGAATACTGTGAAGAGTTGTACTCCAACAAATTTGAAAACTTATAAGAGATGGATACATTTTTAGAAAAGCACGACCTACCTAAACTTACACACAGTGAAGCAGAAGACTTGAACAGTCCCATAACAAAAGAGGAAATTGATCAGGTCATCAAAAAGCTCCCAACCAAAAGAAGTCCAGGCCCAGATGGCTTCACTGGTGAGTTTTACCAAACTTTCAGGGAAGAGCTGTCACCAATTCTACTCAAGTTATTCCAGGATATAGAAGAGGATGGAAAACTTCCTAATGCATTTTATGAAGCAAGCATAACCCTCATACCAAAACCAGAGAAGGACATCACTAAGAAAGAAAATTACAGACCAATATCTCTCATGAACATAGACGCAAAAATTCTCAACAAAATCCTAGCCAACAGAACCCAGCAGCACATCAAAAAAATAATACATCATGACCAAGTGGATTCATATCAGGGATGCAAGAATGGGTCAACAATAGAAAAACAATCAATGTAATCCACCATATAAATAAGAAAAAGGAAAAGAACCACATGATCATATCGATTCATGCAGAAAAGATACCTGACAAAATCCAACATCCATTCCTGATAAATACACTCTCAACAAAGTAGGAATTTAAGAGAAATTTCCCAACATAATTAAAAGCCTATATACAAAACCAACAGCCTACATTACTCTCAATGGAGAGAAACCAAAAGCCTTCCCTCTGCAAACAGGAATCAGACAAGGATGCCCTTTGTCACCACTCCTATTCAATACTGTGCTGGAAGTTTTAGCAAGAGCTATAAGGTAAGATAGGGAAATTAAAGACATCCAAATTGGCAAAGAGGAAGTAAAACTCTATTTGCAGATGATATGATCCTACACATAGAAAACCCCAAAGACTCTGTTAAAAAGCTACTAGATCTCGTTGGAAGATTCAGTAAAGTGGCAGGGTACAAGATCAACATACAAAAATCAATTGGATTCCTCTATACTAATAATGACAGCACTAAAATGGAAATTAGGAAAGCAACACCAATTAAAATACCTGCCCAAAGGATAAAATATCTAGGGATAAATGTAACCAGAGAAACAAATGACCTTTACAAAGAAAACTACAGAATGCTACTACAGGAAACCAAGAGACTTACAAAAATGGAAGAATATACCATGCTCCTGGATAGGAAGACTTAACATTGTGAAAATGTCAATAATGCCCAAAGCAATCTACACATATAATGCAATCCCAATCCAGATTCCAACAACATTCTTCAAAGAGATGGAAAAAAACAATTATAAACTTTACATGGAAAGGAAACAGACCCAGGATAAGCAAAGCACTGCTTAAGAAGAAAAACAAGGTGGGAAGCCTCTCACTCCCTGTTTCAAAATTTATTACACAGCTACAGTGATCAAAACAGCTTGATATTAGTACAATGAAAGATACACAGATCAATGGAACAGAATCGAGATTCCAAAAATTAACTGATCTGCATACAACCAACTGATTTTACAAAGAGCCTAAGTACATTGCATGATGAGGAGATAGTCCCTTCAACAGATGGTGCTGACAGAACTGGAAAGCGATATGCAAAACACTGAAACAAGACTTTTACCTCATGCCATATACGAACACCAACTCAACATGGATTAAAGACCTAAATGTGAATCACAAAATTATAAAGGCCATCAATGAAAAAAAAAAGGAACAAATTTGAGGGCTCTAATACAGGGCACACACAGACTACTTTGCAAAAATCACACAAACAAAAGTAGACAAAATAGATGATTGGGATATACTAAAACATTTTAATTTATGTGCATCAAAAGACTTCACCAAAAGAGTAAAAAGGAGGCTTACAGAATGGGAAAAATCTTTTGCAATGATGCATCAGACAAGGGACTAATTTCTAAAATATATAGGAAACTACAACACCTCTAAAAGAAAAAGACAAATAACTCAATTTAAAAATGGACACAGAACATGAACAGACAGTTCACCAAGGATATCCAGGCAGCCAACAAACATATGAAGAAATGTTCAGTCACTAGCCATTAGAAAGATGCAAATCAAAACAACAATGAGATATTACCTCACACCTGCAATAGCAGCAAAGATCAAAAAAGTAGATGCAATAAGTGCTGGTGAGGATGTGGAGAGACTGAGACCTTCCTACATTGCTGGTGGAATTGCAGAAATGTCCAACCACTCTGGAAAACAATATGGTACTTCCTCAGAAAGTTGGAAATAGAAATACCTTATGATCCAGCAATTCCTCTACTTGGTATTTATTTCTTTTATCCACAAGAAATATAAGCCATAACACAAGTATATATATGCATATCAATGTTCATAGCAACACTATTTACAATAGCAAAAAGAAGGACACAGCCTAAGTGTCCATCTATAGAAGAATGAATAAACAAACTGTGGTACATACACACAATGGAATATTATGTTACTTTGAAGACTACCAATGAAGCTGCAAGCTACTGCATAACATGGATGAACCTTGAGGACATTATGCTGAATGAAATTAGTCAGTCACAAAAGGAGAAATACTGCAAAGGACCATTATTGTGAAAACTTAAGGGAAAAAAAATGGTGCCAGGTACCACAACAGTAACAGACCTTTGCTGTTTTGTGAGGTTTTGTTTTATACTTTTTCCTTTCTTTATGTAATGGAGTGTGCTGGATGTCTCTATTATTTTGTTGAGATGACTGCAGAACCTGGAAAATCTGTTGCTGCTATTGATGCATACCACTGCAATTGGTCTGTTTATATAAATATATCTATATAAACATATATACATAACACTGTGATTGGTCTTTTTATATAAATATATATATATATACACACACATATATATAATTTGAATTTTTGGAAAACATTAACTGCACTTTCAACTTTGGAAAAAGTACCCAGTTGTACCATGTTGAATTGGCACTGTATAGAAATTAACAGCCATATTGGTCTAGACATGTTAAACTGAATTTTTTTTCCATTTATACTTAAATATGTAAGGTCTTATCTACATGGGTTTGATTACAGAAACTAATAAAGTATTCTCTAAATAATGAAAAAAAAGCTTAAGAAAAAGTATCTACACTAAAAGGGACAAAAAAAAATTTCTTTGCTGGTTACCAGGGTGTATGTGGTAGGGTGAGGGGTGAGGGGAGGGAGGGGAGGTGGAGCACAGGGTAGGGAATAGAGACAGTATAGTTCGGGTGCTGGTGGGGAACAATACACAAGAAGGGGAGGGAATGGAAGAACAATCAGATGGGAGAACAGTTAGGCAGGTTTGCATGGGCTAAGTGGGACAGAGGTAAATAATGATGTATGCTCAACCTTGGAACAACAGGGCTTTGGGATACAGGGATTGAGGCATGGTTTGAATCAGTACAAGAAGAAATAATGTTAAGATGCTTGGCTGTCTTTTGAATCTTAGTTTCCCTTGCCTACTATCGTAAAATAGACACTTGAGGGGGAGAGAAAGGAATAGCCAGAAACATCACCACAGAAAGCTTGTACGTCTGTCTTTAGCCTATAACTGATTGTTGTTGTTGTTCAGTGCCGTCGAGTCTATTCCAACCCATAGTGATCCTATATAGGGTGACTAGAATACCTAAAATGGTGCTAGAACTTGCCCGGTGAATGAGGCTTCCTGTGGAGGCTTTGCATTGCACAAGACCATAGGTGGAATACTGATCCCCATCCAGAATCTTCTGAAGTGGAAAATCTCCACTTGAAAGTACAAGCAGACCAGCCTGGAGTGGCTAGAAAAACAGAAGATACTTCTTGAAAGAAAGACCAGTAGGAAAAAGAAAAAACAGTAACAGCAGTCTGATTGACTACTATAAGAACAAGCAAGTTGTTCACCCAGGAGCCATCAAAGCAAGTGGTAGGGTCCCCTCAGG